AGGGTTTTCTATGTACAATATCATTTTATCTGCGAGTAGTGACAATTTTACTTTGTCTTTTCCAATTTGGATGCCTTTTATTTCTTCTTCTTGTCTGATCAGTTTGGCTAGCACTTCCAGTGCTTGTTGAACAGGAGTGGTGAAAGTGGGCATCCTTGTCTTATTCCTGTTCTCAGGAGAAATGGTTTTAGTTTTTGCCCGTTGAGTATGATGTTGGCTGTAGGTTTGTCATATAAGGTTTTCGTTATGTTGAGATATGATACCTCTATTCCCACTTTGCTGTGAGTTTTTATCAGAAAAGGATGTTGGATTTTGTCAAATGCCTTTTCTGAATCAATTGATATGATTATGTGATTTTTGTCTCTCAATTTGTTTATGTCATGTATCACTTTTATTGATTTGTGGATATTGTACCAGCCTTGCATCCCGGGAATAAATCTCACTTGATTATGGTGTATGATCTTTCTAATGTAATGCTGGATCCGATTTGCTAGAATTTTTTTTGACAATTTTAGCATCTATGTTCATCAGGGATATTGGCCTGTAATTCTCTTTCTTATCTGGTTTTGGAATTAGGGTAATGCTAGCTTCATAGAAAGAGCTTGGAAGTGTGCCTTCCTCTTGAATTTTTTGAAAATGATAGGTTTTAGTTCTTCTTTGACTGTTTGGTAAAATTCCTCTGTGAGGCTGTCTAGTACAGGGTTTTTGTTTGCTGGAAGTTTTTTGATTACTGTTTCAGTTTCATCAGTAATTATCAGCCTATTCATGTTTTTTTATTCTTCCTGATTGAGTTTTGGCAGCTTGTATTTCTGTAGGAATATGTCCATTTCATAAAGGTTGTTCAGTTTTTTGGAGTAGAGTTGTTCATAGTATTTTTTTCACAATCCTTTGTATGTCTGTGGGGTCAGTTGTTACTTCACCTCTTTCATTTCTGATTTTGTTTATTTGAGTAGTCTCTCTCTTTCTTGGTCAGCCTGGCTAGGGGTTCATCAATATTGTTTATCTTCTCAAAGAACCAGCTCTTGCCCTAACTGGTTTGGCTCAGTGGATAGAGCGTCAGCCTGCGGACTGAAGGGTCCTGGGTTCGGTTCTGGTCAGGGGCATGTACCTTGGTTGCAGGCATATCCCCAGTGGGGAGTGTGCAGGAGGCAGCTGATCGATGTTTCTCTCTCATTGATGTTTCTAACTCTCTATCCCTCTCCCTTCCTCTTTGTAAAAAATCAATAAAATATATTTTTAAAAAAAGAACCAGCTCTTGGTTTTATTGATCTTTTGTATTTTTCTGTCTCTATGTCATTTATTTCCATTCTGATCTTTATTATTTCTTTTCTTCTGCTTACTCTGGGATTTTCTTGCTGCTGTCTTTATAATTCTTTAAGTTGCAGGGTTAGATAATTTGCTGCCATTTTTTCTTTATTTTTGAGGTAGCCTTGTAGAGATATGAACTTCCTTCTCAGGAAGTTCACTGTGTTCAAGTTTGGATTGTTGTATTTTCATTGTCATTTGTTTCCAGGATGCTTTTTATTTCTTCTTAGATCTCTTTGGTAACCCAATCATTGTTTAATAGCATGCTATTTAGCCTCCAAGTGTTTGCTTTTTTTCGTTGTTTTTATTGTAGTTGATTTCTAATTTTATGCCATTGTGATCTGAGAAGGTTCTTGATATGATTTCAGTATTCTTGAATTTGAAGAGACTTTGCCTGTGTCCTAATATGTGGTCTATCTTTAAAAATGTCCTGTGTGCACTTTAGATGAATGTATAGTCTGTATCTTTGGGGTGAAATGTTCTGTAGATGTCAATTAAGTCCATCTGATCTAGTGAGTCATTTAGGATTGCTGTTTCTTTGCTGATTTTTTTTTGTTTGTTTAGAGGATTTATCCACTGTTGTGAATGGGGTATTAAAGTCCCCTACTATGACTGTATTGCTGTTGATCTCTTCCTTGATATCTTCTAGACTTTTTTATGTATTTGGGTGCTCTTGTATTGGGTGCATATATGTTTACCAGAGTTATATCCTCTTGTTGAATTGTTCCCTTTAGTCTTATGAAGTGGCCCTCCTTAACTCTTGTTACGGCCTTCACTTTGAGGTCTATGTTGTCAGATATAAGTATTGCTACCACTCATTATTTTTAAAGTGAATTCTAAGAATATCATAATTAAATTCCTTGAACATAATAAAGGCACATTCTAAAGACAAGTATAAGTTAATTTTAGTTGAGTGCTGCTTTAGATTATTTTCACCTTTGCTATGCTCCTTTAATTCAACTTGATTGTTGACTGATATTCCATGACATCAATACCTAAAGTTTTCTAAATAGAATAGTGAATTGCAGCTCAGAAGGTATTTCTGCACTTTTTTTGAAAATAGTTATATCTTATCTCCAATAGGAAACCTTAAAAAGGCCATGTTTTGCCCTAGCCGGTTTGGCTGAGTGGGTAGAGCATTGGCCACTCAGGGTCCTGGGTTTGATTCTGGTCAAGGGCATGTACCTCAGTTGCAGGCTCCTCCTTGGCCCAGGCTCTGGTCAGGGCGCATGCAGGAGGCAACCAATGGATGTATTTCTCTCGCATCGATATTTCTCTCTGTCTTTCCCTCTCTCTAAAAATCAATGGGAAAATACCCTTGGGTGAGGATTAAAATTTTTTAAAAAAAGGCCATGTCTGTGTTTTACACAGATATGTAAATCAAAGCATTTATTAACTACATAAAATAAAAATTACATTATGTAAGTATGCACAGAGCAAGATTGTCCTTTATGTATATCTCTTGCAAGCAACATCATCTTGAATTCTCCATTATAAATGTGAGCATGCAAGTCTCTGATGTTCACTGTATAGATATTTTTTTATTTTCATATATTATTGTCTGCCTTTACATAATTCCTAATGAAAATTGGGACTGGATAAATATTTGACCAGTGTCTAAACTTTAGCTTCTTAAAATAAAAATACATTATCAATGTAAAGGCAGAGGGATTTGGGTTTAAACGTTTGTTCACATTTTATAGTACTAATTACTAATCTATAGTAGTTATTCAAATATCACTTTGTGGTGACCAGTTTGCTTTTCACTCATTTATTTATTCACTCAACAAATATTTATAAACTCTTCTGCTAGATAGTGGGGGGACACCAAGATAAGATACATTCCTATCCTTCAATGGTTAAGTATTAGGAAAAATTTTGCTTTGTTTAAATATAAATCTCAGATATGAGACAGTAAACAGATTAGATCAAAATACGTTCCTTCTCCTAAGAGTCTAAATAAGTTACACAGGTTGTATTATTCAAAATTGTATTATGTAAAGCCATAACTAAGGACTAGACAGAAATGCAGGGATAGATGGATCATTCCAATGGCCACTAACTGTCTTTTTAAAATGTATTTCTTTCTGGACAGGGAAGTGTATACTGTCATTGGAATTTATTCTTCAGGTGATTTATAGTTGTCTTTCAGTGCAGTGAAGTTACTACCACTGAACTTTGCTTTCTTTTTAAAGTGAATATATTATAATTTGTAGAATAAGGGATAAAGCAAATATAACTGTAGCACAACTTATATTGTTAATATATTTAAAAAGATGGACTCTAAATGTTTCTGCACCTACTTTTTTGAGATATCAAATATTAAAGGCTACATTAAAATACCTCATGATTTCATTAGTTAAGGTGAAAGGAGGTGGTTCTCCTATCTTATATATCTGGGATAAAATAAAAGTCACATAAAATTTCTTCTTCAGCTTCTGTAGATGTGTGGTAAATACTTTTAATGAGCCCAGTGTCCTGAATTTAGGTCTGCAAATCAGTAAAAAAGCAATTGATTTTCAAGGTTTTTGTTTTCAAATACTAGTTCTTTTTTTTTTTTTTTTTTAATCCTCACCTGAAGATATTTTTCCATTGATTTTTAGAGAGAGTGGAAGAGAGGGAAAGATAGAAGTATTGATGTAAGAGAAACACAGAAATTGGTTGTCTCCTGCATGTGCCCCAACCAGGACCCAGGCTGGGGAGGAGCCTGCAACTGAGGTATTTGCACTGGCCTGGAATCGAGCCCAGGACCCTTCGGTCCACAGGCCCATGCTCTATCCACTGAGCAAAACCAGTTAGGGCCAAATACTAGTTATTTATACAAGTATTCAATAAGTACCCCTAAAAATATCAAAATTCCTACTGATTTAGACCTTATAACTTGTAAATGAGCTTTTCTGTCCACTATTTTATGGAGATACTTAAGCCTTCTCTATCGAGAATGTAAGGTACCAAGTGTTTCATGAATTTAATTTTCTTCAGATACCAGCATGTACCAACCCCATGCATAATTTACATTAATATCACTATGGCAGAATTATGGATGTCATATCCCCGTAAAGCATCTAAAGCATGAAGTTATCCAGAAACTGAGCCATCCACTGCAAAATAAACCCAGCAATCCCTCATTGGGACTTTTTGTTAATGCATAGTAGAAAGAACCAGAAACAAGCGGAGAGAAGCACTCTCATTGATCTGGAATTGAAATCATTCCAGGTCTTAAAGACTCAGCTTAAAGTTTTGTTAGCAGAATTCTTGTGGAACCATTTCAATTTTCAGATTTGTGTCAACTATCTACAATCCATGCACACATAAGTATGGCTGTCAACAAATCTATCCAACCAACTTAAAGGTGGCAATGGTTCTATTTTTATGTCTATAAACATAGCCTGAGACTATGTTTATATCATACAAAATGAGGTCAATTTAGAAAAAAAGAGGAGGGAATAAAAACCACTGCTTGGGTTTTTAAGGCCAAAAAACTGTCATAATACAAAAACTATTTGTGTTATTTAGGCGTACTTTTGATCCAGTACTAGTACTGTCTAAATATTGGTGTGTTTTTTTTTTTTGCTTTGTTTCTGGTTTATAATGTTCTAATGGTATAACTTGCTTTCTCCATTGCCTTCTTAAAAGTGATGTCTCCTTTCTATCACTTTAGGAAGCTCATTCTATGTTTGTTTTGTTTTGTTTAGGAAATTGTTGCTGAACTTTCCCCATCCTGTGGATTGCAACAATGCCAAAGCTTCCTATATCATGGAAACTGAAACTCTTGAAGTTACTGTAACTTTGAAAAGAGAATTGGATTTTGTTAATTTCTTCTGAAACTGCATGAGGAAGGGAGAAACATGGCAAAATAGCCCTGATAAAAAAAATAAATGGTTAATGTTTTCTCTTTTCTCTTTATTATTCTAACAAACTTTAGCAAGGGCCTAAATACAATTACACTAATACTAGAAGCCCAGGGCACGAAATTTGTGCACTAGTAGGGTCCTTGGCGGCTGGCACTGGCTAGCCAGGTACTCCCTCCCTTCCCCTGGCTGGCCCCACCCCCTGGTCAAACTCCCGTAAGAACTCCTGGTAGAGGGGACAATTTGCATACTACACTTTTATTATATAGGATTCTGATCATTTACAGTCATTTCTGCCACTCTGATAGAAAATATAGTTTTCTCATACTAATAAGCTATTCCACTTTTATAGTGATAGCTGGATAGATTTTATAGGTTAACCATTAGACTACTACATGATCAATTAAGTAATTGAGATAAGACCATGAAATGGATGGTCTACTTATTTCAGTAGTCTTAAGAACTTAAGCCAATTAATTATACTGTGATACAGTCAGTTACATAGCAATTGGCCTTATTATTACCAGAAAAGTGTATTTTTTGTCTTTTCATTGATCTGATCAAATGATTTAGTGTTCTCTGTTTAGGCTCTCAAAAGTGTTCTGGAATCCTACCTAATAAAAGAGAAACATGGTAATTGGCGTATGACCGCTACCCTTCCCATTGGCTAATCAGGGTGATATGCAAATTAACTGCCAGCCAAGATGGCGGCCGGCAGCCAGGCAGCTTAAACTGAACATGAGGCTTCCTTGCTTCAGTGACAGAGGACTGCAACATTCCCCGCCTGCCGCTGCAGGCCTCTGAGATTGCAGTTTAAGAAACATTGTAACATATAGAAGCCAAATAAAACCCCAGAAACCAGCTTTCAGCGAGCCCGGGATCTCAGAGCTGGAGTTGATACAGAGTTTCGATTATAGAACCTAAACAAACCAGATACCTGCTTTCAGGAGCGGAGGCCTAAGAGCTGGAGCCTCAGAGCTAAAGGTGGCCCAGAATAAAAAAAGAAAAAAGAAAAAAAGGAGCAGTTGGGAGCTTCAGTCCCAGCCTGAAAACAGCCATCATCCCCTCACCCAGGCTGGCCAGGCACCCCAGTGGGGACCCCCACCCTGAAGGGTGTGTGACCAGCTGCAAACAGCCATCATCCCCTCATCCAGGCTGGCCAGGCACCCCAGTGGGGACCCCCACCCTGATCCAGAACACCCTTCAGGCCAAACCAGCCAGCCCCCACCCAGGCACCAGGCCTCTATTCTATATAGTAAAAGGGTAATATGCCTCCCAGCACCGGGATCAGTGTGACAGGGGGCAGCGCTCAAACCCCCGATCACCCTGCTCTGTGCGTGACAGAGGGGAGCTCCCCAAACCCCTGATTGACCCTGTTCTGTGCGTGACAGGGGGCAGCGCCCCAACCCCCTGATTGGCCATGCTCTGTGCGTGACAGGGGGTGGCGCCGCAACCTCCCCATCGACCCTGCCTTGAGTGTGACAGGGGGCGGTGCCCCAACCACCCAATCGGCCCTACCCTGAGCATGACTGAGGGTGGCATCACAACCTCCCAATCCGCCCTGCTCTGTGCATGACAGAGGGCGGCACCCCAACTCCCCAATCGGCCCTGCTCTGAGCCCGACCAGGGGCTGCACCTAGGGATTGGGCCTGCCCTCTGCCACCCGGGAGCAGGCCTAAGCCAGCAGGTCGTTATCTCCTGAGGGATCCCAGACTGTGAGAGGGCACAGACCGTGCTGAGGGACCCCCTCTCCCCCCCGAGTGCACAAATTTTTGTGCACCGGGCCTCTAGTCCTATCTAATGAGAGAGAAACATGGTAATTGGCGTACGACCACTACCCTTCCCATTGGCTAATCAGGGTGATATGCAGATTAACTGCCAACTAAGATGGCAGTTAACCGCTAACAAAGATGGCGGCTAATTTGCATACTGAAGGCAGGGTAGGACAGCACAAGCCACAATCCAGGCCCTTGTGTGCCATGGGGGGAGGGGCTGGGGCTAAGGCAACCGGTGCTGATCCCTACACCAGAGCCCTCCCCCGCCCACCGGAGACACGGGCCCACTCCCGTGTGCGATCTGCAGGCTGGAGGGGGCTGGGGCCAAGGCAAGCGGTGCCGATTGCTTCACCTGCCTACCAGAAACAGGGGCCCCATTCCTGTGTGCAACCTGGGGGTGGGCGGGGGATCGGCAGCGGCATTGCTTGCCTTAGCATGAGCCCCTCTGGAGCACTCTGGAGCCACCCGGCTCTCCCAGCTGTCTGCGCTTCATGAATCCCAATTTTCCTCAGAGGCGATGGCTGCAGGACCCAGAGTGGGAGACAGGGGAGTGGGCCAAGTGTGGCTCTGGCTCTGCGCGCGCTCTCTGAGGAGATCTCCCCAGGGGGCAGCGACTCCCCTTGCTGCCTGGGAGATCTCCTCTGCCCCGTGCCCTCTGTCCAGCCCGAGCCGCACTCAGCCTGCTCCCCTGTCTCCTGTTCTGCATCCTGCAGCCGCTGCCTCTGGAGAAACTTGGATTCATGAAGCGAGGGCGGTGGGGAGGAGGAGGCACCTAAGAAGTCCCCAGCAGCTGGCGCTGGGAGCTGGGAACTTTGTGCCGGGCACTCCGGCAGGGCCATGGCAGAGGGGAGCTGGGACTCTGGCCACCACCGCCGCCACCCCCCAGCTGGCTACTGCTGCTGCTTTGGCTGCTGGAAGCTCCACTGCTGCTTGGGGTCCAGGCGCAGGAGGCTGGCCAGGGGCCTGGGCCAGGTCAGCAGCCCCCGCCGCCACCTCAGCAGCAACAGAATGGGCAGCAATACAATGGTGAGTGGGGCCTGAGTCCCGCCCTCCCGGACACTGGGCCCTCTGAGAGAGAGGAAGAGAGAGAGAGAGAGAGAGAGAGAGAGAGAGAGAGAGAGAGAGAGAGAGAGAGGAATTTAGCACCCCGCATCCCTCCCTGATCAACCACTGTGATTCAGGCCAGCGAGGGCTGCCTTCAGGCCACAGCTCCAGGTCCCTCATCCCCACCCCAGGCCCGAGAGCACAGTGCTGGGCAGAGGCACCCAGTGGTTAGGGAATGCAGTGCAGTGAGAGGCCAGCACGAGGTGGCGGGGGGTTGTGTTTACACCACCAAGTTCCCCACTTCTGCCCTGGCCCACATCCCTCCTCCTTCCCCTCAGAGGCCCAGCTCCTGCCTACATGCTTGCTGGGCAGGCCCAACTGCACCGGAGAGTGAGCTATGGCAATCAGGATGGCCACTTCCTGGGATGGGATGGCCAGACCACGGGGATTCATGAGGGCGATGAGGCCCATGGAGCATGCACAGCCCTCCGGCAGTGGGGGTGGCCGTCTGGCTACAGTGGGGCCAGTGGGAGCCCGAGGCTACCCCAACCCCCACAGGTCCTGGGCAGACGGTGGCTCAGTGGAGAGTGGTATCTCCATGCATGGTGCCCAGGGGCAGCTGTGAGCTGCTGCAACCTCACCCCATGCTTCAGGGATGGGGAGAAGGCTCACAGCCACCAGCACCCTAGGCTGCACCGCCTGGCCTGTGCCTCAGCCTGCCAGCTTGGCAGGGTCCAGAGCAGGTGAGCTGTTCCCCTCTCCCAGTGGTAGAACAGGGAGGAGAGTGCTGGGTGCAGGGAGGGGACCTCAGCTGGTATCCTCCTGGTGTGGGCCCTGGCAGGGGCCGGTGCAGAAGTACTAGGGCACAGTTGCTTCGGTGTCTCGGTGAAGTTTGCAACTGACCCAAGGAGGAAACCCGAGAGGGGAAAGGCTGGGAGGCATGAATTGCCAGCACTGTAGCCACTTGAAAACAGCTCCACTTGGAATGTGAGGTGGTTGTATGTTCAGCTGAGAAGTGAGGGGGCTGAACTCCACCATCGCTGGGCTCCTGTCAGTCCAAGACCCAAGTGTCCACGACGACAAGGGGAGAACAGAGCGAGGGGCCTGGAGGAAGGAAGGACAATTGAAGAAAACCATGTCTAGACTTTCCCCAGCCCTCTCCTTCTTTCTGCTGCCTACAAGAACCCCAGGCCCGGCCACAGTTCTGTGTCCACCTTTTAGTCCCCTATTCTCCAACCGCAGAGGAAAGAAATAAGGAAGGAGTCTGTGCTGCCTTCAGAAAGTATCTATATACCTGATCGGCCAGTTGCCTTCCACAGAGGGAGGCCAGACTGCAGCTTAGGCCCGCTCCTCACAGGGACATCAGTAGGACATCTTGTGAGGGCTCCCAGACTGTTAGAGGGGGCAGGCTGGGCTTAGGAAAGTTATTTTCTGCTCTCCCTCCCCAGACTAGGTTTGGTTTCTCTGATAGATATTCTTAATGTACCTATGTTTTTTCCTTCACAGCAGTAACAATAAACTTGAAAATATATGGTTATGTGTTTACTTGGTTATTGTTTGTCTCCCTTGCTTAACTGGTTTTTGTTGTTGTTCCTCATCTTCACCTGAGGATATTTTTAAATTGATTTTTAGAGAGAGTGGAATGAAGGGGAGACAGAAACATCAACATGAAAGAGACACATTGATTGGTTGCCTCCCGTACTGGTCCTAACCAGGGCAGGGGATCAAGCCTGAAACCGAAGCACATGCCCTTGACCGGAATCAAACCCGGGACCCTTCAGTCTGCAGGTCGACGCTCTATCCACTGAGCCAAACCAGCTGGGGACTTGCTTAACTGTTTGCTCTGTGAGGATAGACCATATCTAGTTTGCTATTGCTATATTGCCAGTTCCTAACATAGTGCTGAGTGGATATTTGTTGAAAGAATGCATAAAGGAGTGAATGAATAAATTATTGAATCTTCACAAGTTTTACTGGAAATTATGGACCCAAAAAGTGAGGTAAAGAAGTTTGTGAAGGAGAAGGCTAATGATATGCCACAATTGTGGTTTTAACTTCCAATTCTGGTAAGAGCTAACATTCATTGAAAAATGCTAACAAGATAAATTTCCTTTTGCCTTCTCTTTTCCTACATTTACTTTAGTGGACTATTCCTCTTGAAAGGAAAAAAATCCCGTGAATTAGCT